TGGTCAGGCCGCAGTTGGAGTACTGCATCCAGTTCTGGGCGCCACACTTCAAGAGGGATGTGGACAGCATGGAGAGGGTCCAGAGGAGGGCCACTCGCATGATCAGGGGACAGCAGGGCAGGCCCTATGGGGAGAGGCTACGGGACCTGAACCTGTTCAGCCTCCAAAAAAGAAGGCTGAGGGGGGATCTTGTGGCCTGTTATAAACTAGTCAGGGGGGGATCAGCAGGCATTGGGGGAGTCACTGTTCCCCCGAGCACTGCCAGGAGTGACCAGGAATAACGGTCACAAGCTGGCAGAGGGTAGGTTGTTCGATATCTGGAGGCGCTACTTCACGGTCAGGGCGGCTAGGATCTGGAACCAACTTCCAAGAGAGGTGGTGCAGGCTCCTACCCTGGGGAATTTTAAGAGGAGGTTAAATGAACACCTTGCTGGGGTCGTTTGACCCCAGTACTCTTTCCTGCCATGGCAGGGGGTCGGACTAGATGATCTTCTCAGGTCCCTTCTGACCCTAGAAACTATGAAACTAAGTGAAATTCCGTTCTACTCTGCTCAGTTTACTGAAAAACTGTTAAATCAAAATGTGGGTGGGTATTCCTTCTTGCTGTTTTTTTGTGACTCAGACTTAAGGGTAAAATAGCAGTATGTCACAATAACTGATATATTAATGTATTTTCAGGACTGAACAGGGTGGAATAGAATCGCACCTGAATGTGTAAGTGGAATTAGATCCCCAACAGGTAAAATGGAATTTGACCCACAGTATATAAATGGAGTACAAAGGGGCAGATGATGCTTTATGTAAAGCACTTCCTACAAATTAGCTAGTACTAGTCTCAGCCCCTCTACATGAAGGAACACAGGTTGGGGCAGAGTGGCCTTCTGTTCTCTTCCTGTTTAAGTGCCCAGATTTGATCATCTACATGACGTTTTATCACTTTTACATATACAAGTAGGAATAGTATTCCTGGCCACAAAACTGTATGTGCAGACAAATTCTCACACGCACACACACACTCTCTCTCTCTCTCTCTCTCTCTCTAGCATTCCCCCAACTTTACCCAGAGGGTCTGAATCTGGGTGTCTCTGACTTCCCAGCACAGAGCTCTAGCTAGCATGCCACAGGTCAGGCATTATTTGTGTCCTCCTGCAGCACTTTTTTTGAAGCTGAGCTACTAATATGATCACTGGAAAAAATGGATGCAGGTTAGTGCAGTGAGGAAGCTTCTGCCCTTCATTGGGAGCAAACACTCAGGCTAGAACCCAGGCCCCCTTCTCTTTTAGGCCTAAAAGAGAAAACCAAATACTCTCTGGTTTGATTTTTTCTTCTTGGCCCTACATATCTCCCATATGCCTCCTTCTCACTGGCTGCGCTAGGGGACCATTTCAAAAGGAGTGTCAGAGAAGGCACTGGATAATGGGTGACCTGTGGTATGCTGGCTGAAATACTGTGTTGAGAATTCAGAGTCCTAGGTTCAAACCTGCTCTGGGTGAGGCAGGGCCTAGAACTCAGCTTCTCTGCCTTGCCAAATGAGTGTCCTAGCTACAGTATGAATCCACAAGGGAGGGGAGGGGGAATTTATGACCTGGCTATGAACACAGTCAGTGCATAACCTGTTCCACATGCACAGTCTGTGTACATATGCAATCATAGGAAAGTAGGGCTAAAAAGCAGGACCACATGTGTTTGAAGCAGGATCATTGCTGACCAAACAAGTCTAGGGTCTGTTTAACTTGTTCTTGAAAACTTCCAGGGATGGAGAAACTGCAGCTTTTCCAGGTAGCCTGTTCCAATGTTTAACTACCCTAATAGTTAGAAACTCTAATCTTCATTCTTAATCTTCTCTACTGCAGTTTGTGGCCATTGCTCTTAATCCTACTCCCTAGGCCCACGGTGCACATTACACTTAAGACGTCATTATGTAGTTAACCTGGCAATAAGTTCATTCAATTAATGGCACCATAAAACAGAAAATAAGCCACAAAGTTATTACAAAATGTATGTGTAATAAAATTGCAGATGGTTCCCAAGATGCCATAAATTGAACTTGTGGCCAGCCCAAGGGGTCCACTCGCTCCCACAGGTGGGAGCCATAGTCTATTGACCTGGGCTCCCAAATGGACAGATACCTCTGTTGGTACAGGGAACCCAGGCTTGTGATTCTGAGCTCCCCCTGCACTGACAATATGGCATTATTGGGAACTGATCCCCAATTCCAAAACTACATTTTTTTCCAGACTAAATAATGCTAGTTCTTACAGGCTTTCCTCATAAATCATGTTTTCCAGATTTTTAATCATTTTGTTGCTCTCTTTTTTGAGTCTGTCTAATCTGTTCAATCTTTCATATCTTTCTTAAAGCGTGAGACCCAAAACTAGATGTAGTATTCCAGGTGAGGCCTCATTAGTGCCAAACAGAGAAGAATCGCTTTCCTTGATTTACAAGAGAGACTCCTGTTAACTGAACCCAGTCTGCTATTGGCTTATTATTATTATTATTATTATTTTTAAACAAGAGCACACAGTTGACTTATATTCACCTTATGGTCCACTGTAACCCCCAGGTTATTCTCTGCAGTATTTCAGCCTAGCCAATCATTCCTCAGTCTGTATTTGTGCACGGGATTATTTTGTTGTAAGTGCAGGACTTGGCCCTTGTACTTGTTGAATTTTATTTGATTGATAAGTTCACCCTGGATCCTAGACATACCCTCTAGAATGACTGCAACTACACCC